AGATCTTATGACACGAAACAAATAAATAAATAAATAACAGATCATTGCAGATTGTAGAAAAATAAATAATTTTGATTAAACTGCTACATGAGAATTACTTTTAATATGGTTTATTGGTAATGATTACTGCTATCGATAAAATACTGTTGAAAAGCTTATCATCTTATATTCATTATTTTAACTGTTTATCACACTAAAATGTATGTAAAAATTTTAACATTTGAAGTTTTAAAATGTGATTGAACTACTTCCCATTACATAATAGTAATAATACTTTAACCAGTACCTGTATAGATATAATTATCCTATGTAATTAAACAAAAAGTACAATAAATGTATACCTTTTTATATGTATATCTATCTTGTTAGTTTTAATATACTTTTTTGAGAAAAAAATATATTTGTATCTAGGTACTTCGTAATTTTTATAAGGTACTAGAATATGGACCCTTTAAACTTAGTCAAACAAAAGAAGATTTTCTCTGGGATAAATTAATTTATTGCACTCAATATTTTGGAAATTAGGAAAAGATTGTTAAAAATGTATTTTTGAGCACAACTACACAAGGATGTAAAACGTGGATGGTGAACGCGGTAAGAAATGTATTTAAGGAAGATAATGAAATGATATTAAAATTAAAAAGGTATTAAAAAAAGTAGAACAATGGACGATATGGATGTGAACAAAGGAAAGGAGAGATAGAATAAGATGACACCTATTGGAGACATAAAGGGCTATATATACTGGAAGCAAAACAGGAAAAAAATGGGACAGGAGAAGACCTGGATCAGATTTTTGTTTAAAGACAGAGATGTGGGATGATATAGTTTTTGGCTCAGAATAGGAAGAAGTGGAAGTGCGTCTCCAGCCAGTCTTTGAACTGATGACCCTTCGATGATGATAGAATTTCTTAGTTATTAATTTTCCTTTATACAATCAATTTCTAGGTAATAGAGTAACTAAATTTACATTTTCTTTTAAAGACCAATCTATAAAATATAAACAGTTTAGGCACTTTTCTACACTTTTCCTTATCTAAGTTGTAATTTTAAGAAGTAAAGCATATAAATATTGTAGTGAAACTAATTTTTAAATAGTATTATGAAATACGTATTTTAGGAAATGCAAACCGATTTCTGCTATTACTAAAATTATAATTATGGATAATAATTGAAGAGCAATTTAATCATTAATAAATTAAAAGTAAAAAAATAAATATATGTGTATAGGAAATATATATGTATATAAGGAAAAATATTTACTTCATATATTTCCCTGTTGTAATTTGTTTTGCTGCTTAAAAAAATATTTGCAGTATCAGGGTAAACAAAGGGAGCAGTTACGTTTGAAAAATAAACCATTACATACACCTACTAATGTTGAAATTAAGCACCCCCTATGTGAACCACCCCGAGACGCCACATCAGCATATACTATAAAAATAAGAACAAAAGAGGAATTTGAAAACAGCTCGCATTATTTGAGTTCTTTTTTAAAGGCTCATATTAAGTACAGATTTTTTTTCTAAAAAAAATGGCATTCCTTTGTAAAGAGACGAAAATAAATAGCGTAAAATCCACGAGTCACCTCGTCATCCGCGTTCCTCCTATACTACTAGAAATGTTCTGTTGTTGCATGATAAACTTCCACATTTTCAAAATTTCATCCCGAGTAAGATCGGGCTGGCCAAAGAGAAAGTTTTTTGAGCAGTTGTGACAGTTACCCGTCTTCAGAACTTCACGCATTTCCTCTTTATTTAAAACTAAATTCTCGACCGAAGTGTGCGATATTTTGGCCTTTTGTGCTAACAGACCGGTTATATAAGCGTCGTCGATCCAAAAATACTGAGCTTTTTGAGCTTCCTTATAGAGAGTAAATACCACGTCTGGAGAGTACATGATTGCATATCCGCTGCAATACGGGGGATAGTATCTCCCAGAATATTCCTTAAATGATACCCTCCACTTAGAACGATACGTTCTTTTAACTCTACTTGATTCGAGTAACAGTGCGCACAACAATAAATTTTCAGCACCGTACGGCGATAGTTCTTCCTTTAAAAAAGTTAAAAGTGTTGGTATATTAACAAAAATGTCGTCGTCAGTCTTTAAGATGTATTTGGCCTTTGGACAATGGTAAATCGCATACTTGAGCGCCATGACGTGCTTGAATGTCATGTTCCTGTATGCATCAAGGAAGTTTCCTTGAATTAAGTCTCGGTATTGTTCATTTTCTGTCTCCAGTTGTGACTGTATCTTATCCAAACTAACGTTTCCTATAAGAAACACCACCTTCACATCCTTAGTGTTCTGACCCCAGGTTTCTCGTATGGTCATCCTTTTGACGACGTTTTCAGGAGCAGAATGTACTAAAATTAACAGAAACGGAATGGAGTTGTTGCAAACGTTGTTGAATATGTTATAACGAAACTCTCTGATCGTGATAAGTTTACGGTAGTCTAATGGTGGAAGAGTTTCCAAAGGATAGTTCAACTTCGTGAAATTTTCCGTGTTAAGGGTGTAAACAGGAATAATGTCATATTGGTGCAAAACCGTTATAGACGTTGGGTCGTTTATGACATGCCACACTGAAAGACAGACGAAGAAGCCAAAGATTACAAAGGCAATGTTTGGCCATCGCCATTCTTTCATGTTGTTTTTCGTCCACCTTTATCAGGAACTAATTCCATTAGCATACGACCTGAAAAAAAAATAATGAAGCAATTAATTACACTTATAAATGAACATTATTTACGTATATCTATATTTTTACATACGATGGGGAAGGATTTAATATCGATTATAAATTACACGTTACAGGTTAATTATTATTCGGTTAGATTTTATAACCCTGCAGGTTGTTTTCGAATTTGGAATCATTCAAGATGTTAACAATAGGCAATAGTTTTATTTCCTTCTTCGCTGATACAAACAATTAAAATGGGTACCAAGAGTAGGCACAAACGCTCGATTTACACTCAGAAGTTACTTGATGTAACATTTGCGTCGGTTTTATAATATTTCATTTCAAGAAAAAGGCACGTTCCCCGGCTTCATGGCGCACTCGCCTCCAAGAAACATAAATTTTCTTAAATCGAACATAAACAAAATTCAAACTGATTAATTAAATAATAAGGGAAGGATCATCTATGATCCCCACAATGGGATGCCAATAATAATAATCAGGTATTAAGTTTATGACTAAAAAGATTTGTGTTATCTAAGTCTAAATTTCACAGATAATACAAAGTTCTGAAAACCCTGTTTTGCAAAAGATATACAGTTTTAAAAGGATTAATAACAAATGGCAGAATCTATCACACCCGTCCTACCATTACTTTATTCATATGTTTAGGTATAAGAGTATAAACTCCAGAACATTCGGGTACAGTTTCAGTAACATATGTCATTACATTTTACCTTTAGGTACTGTTTTTCGAGACACTCCATTAACTATACGCATATTTACATATTATAAATTTAATTTAACTTAAAAACGTCAGATTCCCGAATATCTGCCCATGTGACTTGTGACACCTGTACTGCTAACGTCCTGTATTTTCATTGGCATGTATCCAACTTTCGTATTCATACAATGCGTAAACACTCTATTTAATGAATTTAAAGTTGCCAGTTTTCAAATTAAAAGGATATCTGCTAATAAAATAACATTATCAATCTAACTGTAAGTACTGAATAGCATAGATCAAAACCCAAACATAAAGCATACACAAAGCGCTCTATTCACGAACTGTATTCACACGTGTTTATATTCCACACAATAGACCTGTTGTATTGTTTTACCCCTCAAACAGAGCCTTTCGATGAAGCCACAAACCAAAATTTTATATACACAGGTAAAAGGTAAAATATTTTCAAGTCGAAATATAAATAACAGGCGCCTACAGATTTCTTAGAACATTGCATGGTATTCGGGAGGACGCCGGGACGATTCTGGCTCCGTCTCCCCTGGTTCTAGTTCTTATGTGGTTTCCCAGCATCTTATGCAAATTATCATCATCATAAAGTCGTCAGTCTTAAGACTGGTTAGACACGCACCTCTACTCCTTCCTATCCTGAGCTAATCTTCCAATTTCCCTAAAACTAGAAAATCCCATATCCTTAAGTATTTGTAAAAAGTAATCTAATCTAGGTCTACCTTTGCTCCTCTTAACTCTGTTTCCGCCTCTAATATGTTTCTGACTAGTCCTTCATGCCTGAGAAGGTGTCCTATCAACCTATCTCGCCTATTCTTTATTGACTTCGATAGAGTCTTCTGTTCTCCTATTCTGTCTAATACCTCTTCATTTCTAACCTTCTCTATCCACGGTATCCTCATTATTCGCCGGTAACAACACATTTCGAATATTTCTAGCCTTTTCTTTTCCGCCACGCTCACCGTCCATATTTCGCACCTGTACAGCGCCGCACTCCAAACATACACCTTTAATTATATTCCTACATACATCTTACAATATTAAGACTGCATTGCTAGTATAATTTACACGATCATACATTCTTGAATTTATTTAACCGTAATGTTTTTGATTTCACTTAACGAACAATGATAGAATTACACATCAAACAAGATACGTCAAGGTTAATAACAAATAACTAGTTTTAAATATATGATCTCTGATATGGAATTATACCATTTAATTAACCGCAAAATTGTCCTAGAACCTAGAAACTAATTACTATAATGAACAAAAAACAAACGCATTCTGAAGGAGATGAAATTAGACAATAAGAATGAACAATACGGGCTGAACATTTAAAAAAGTACCAGACAAATACGGCTCCGACATGCTAAAAATTAAATTTCGTAGCGTATCAAATACGATGCTAGATAATGCAACTTCTAAAACTATCATTTTTTAAACCCATTGCAATGGTGTCATATATAATAAAGTTGAGGATATAAACTTTCATGAACGCCTTGCCTTTGGACTGCCTACTATATATTATTAATCAATAAATTATAGGTACTCTTCGAAAATTATCCTACATGGACGAAGCAGCTGTAGGATGGTTTTTAATAAAATTTTAATTGAAACTGTATCGTCGATAATACCACAATTTTAGTTGCTACAATATTAACTACTTGAGTCCATTATAGATTTTTAAACAGCAAACAAACTAGCGTAAAACCTCATTACAGTTTATCAGATATTTATTACCAAAAGAAATGTAACTTTGATTTTCATTACTATCTTACATTATTTTCTAAATACAGGCGCAATTTGTATCGATTGGTTTTGAAATATATATAATTATTCTTCACCATTGATTGTTAGTAATGGACAATCGCACATTTTTATACACTAATGACAAGTTAAAAACCGAAATGCATACATAGAAAAAATGCAATCACAAAAGGCGATATCATCTTTGGAAAATATCACGTACCTACTATAGGGAAATTGGCAAATTCGTATAAATCATTTCTGCCCGCTTGGAATTTATAGGGTTGTTCGGAAAGTCATTTCGTTTTTTCCCGACAGAGGATTTAATTGTATTCTTTTGCACCCAATTTCACATTTAAGCNAAATTGTTTTAAGTTATTTAAAAATAAATGAAGGGAGTGCCTTTTTTAGGATTACTCAAAAACGGACTACTACTATTGCTTACTAGAAATGGTAAAAAGAAAATAATAAAATTAATTTCGTTGGAAAATCCAGTTTTCTAAAAAAAGTACTCTCGTAAAAATCTCGAAAATTGCTTCGTTTTTGAGTTATTTAGAAAAAACTAAAGGGAGTGCCTTTTTTACGATTACTCAACAACACACTCTTTAAAAAAGGGACACTATGTGGTTTTATCATATTTAGAGGCCATACTTCCTTTTTTTTGTCAGTATTCTATAACCCAGCAGTTAAGTACGAACTGTTTTAAGTCAAGTACACTGCATAAATAAAAAAGATACAAGCATACAGTATTTCGTTGAATAATAGATCCACGCTCTATTTCTCAGTAATTTTACTATTCATCCCCCAATTTTCAGTTAATTAAACGGTACTCGTTGTCGATAAAATCAATATGTTATTACAATCTATACTTGTAAAAATGGATCACTAAATGTGTTGCTAAGCACAAAACTCGAGAAGGGATGGACTAATTTTGATATTTTTTTTTAATATTCTTTCAAGTCCGAGGAAGGTTCTTATGAAAAAAAAATTGGAAAAATTTCCCAGAAAACCGTAAAACATTTTATCTGTAGACGGACTTACTCGAAGTTTCTATAAATACTCATTGTTAAAATTAAGCAAATACGTGTTTTGGCAATTTTTAAAAATCAACCCTTAAGGATGAAATGTTGTTGCTACGTTTGTATCTGAAATCTAAGATGGCGACATTATATAAAATTAAAACTTTGTAGGGGTGAATTGGAAGTTAANTACGTTAGGGTTGTAAGACGGTTTGTAACTGCGAGTTTTTGATGTTATTAATCTCTGAAAATGATGACTCGCAGGCATAGGTTGATGAAAACATTATTAAAATATCATATGCCAGCTTTTTCAAAAAATTAAATGTATTTGTTATTGCATTCCATGTTTCCAAAATTTTGTTATTAGCATTTTCACTTGTATTACCCGTCAGTCTTTCTGTTTCAATTATTTATAACTCTTTCCTTGTTCCAACAACTTTTTGAATCATATTGAACTAGACTGGAAATCAATCAGCTGCATTTCATATTCTTCAATTTATTTTATCAAATGTCACACCAGGGTACATAATAAACTTTCGTATTAGTATTTCCGATAATTCTTTGAAGTGAGAAAATCTTGCTGAAAATTCCTTGATTAAAAAATCAATGACAGAAACATTAGTGACGTGCCCAAAATATTGTGTCGCGTGCCACTAATGGCACGCGTGCCATTGGTTCGCCATCCCTGCTCTATAACTTAAACGAATAATTTGGACATCGCATCCCAGTAAGCAGTGAAAAGTGGTTTGAATAGAGAGAAAGTCTTCTATGTAATAGACGAAGAATTGCTGAGTTCATAATTTAGAAAAATGGTTGTGTACATAGTTTAGACAGTGTAGGAAGAAAACATTAGTGTTAGTGGACTTATACTAAAGGAAAAAACTAAAGAGTTTGCTAAGTTACTGGAAAGACATAATTTTAAAGCTTAAACTTAAACCCTTAGTAAGTAAAAACCTCTATAACTCAAATTATTTTACGTTTCCCTTGGTCTTTATCTTATTGAGGTTCTAGTGTATAACTATTGGATCATGCAAAAAAAAACTGGCTACGTCCCTGAGATTAAAAATTGAAAACGATAATTTTATTCTTGCAACACATTGAAACGATCGCCAGGAAGTTGGCACCCCTAATTCATCAATTTTGTTTTTTTCTGATGGGTTCTATTCTCCTAGTGATAGTTTTACAGTTTTTGATGGCGTACACCGATAGTTCTGTATTTTTACTATCAAACGAATGAAGTTTAAGGGTGCCGCGTCCTTTTACCCCCAGAAAAGCAATTCTGATACACACAGTTTTCGGGTCCCTACTGTTTTGCAAAGAGTTCTGCAAAAAATCTGCGCAAAATTTGAAGATTTTGTAAAATTTCTTTTTCATGTTTTACTAGGAGTTCTGGCCATCCCTACTAAAGAGTTGTAGTGAAAAATCCTCTCGTATTTTCGCGAGAACTCGATTTTTATACGTTAATTAAAAAATACAGTCACTAAGAGGTTGACGTA